AATATCTTGAAAAATTATCAGCAGGTAAGATACCTTGCGTATGTCCTTAAGGACCCTTTTTTCATAAAAGCAGTCAAATTATTAAATATTTTTTCTTCATTATTCTTTACGCCTTCTTCCTTTCTCTCTCTCGACTATGATCATATGTAAACATTGTACTACACGTATATGTCCATGCATAAGAACTTCCACGTAGCGACATAACGGGAGTGGACTGCTACTTATTCTGTGTATTATAAAAAAAATATGATTTTTTTAAAAAAATTAATTAGTAGGATATATAATGGTTGCACGAATATTTAAATGGTTACTGGTTAATTATAGATAAAGGATTAATTTAAACAATATTTTATTATGAAAAACATAATTGGATTGGACAGCAGGCACTGCCTATATAAGTCCTTTCCACAATACAAGGTCAACATCATACATGTACAAGTAAACATTATTAATATAACATTGAAAAATATAATTATATACATGCATATATTCAGTAGAAATGTATATGACAAGGCAAATTAAGGGGAACAAACAAAAAAAAGAGAAATATATGAGCTGTTAATATAATTTAAATTTATATTTTAACATGTATGACTGGCAATTATAGTAATAATTGTTGATTGTATAATTAAAAAAAAAATGAATAAGAAAACATAAATAGGTTTTGGTTCTGTGATTTGACAATTGAAAAAAATAGCAGATGTAATATCATGCAAATCGCTTTGTAGTAGCAATAAATTCTTGAACAAGTTTAAATATTGCAATATTTTGGTTGTATGTAAGATTATTGTCTCCATTTAAAATAAGTTGTAAACATAAAGGCACTGGTAATTGCAAAGTATTAAAGTTTTGTATTAGGTTCTGTCTTTGCATACAGTATTTTGGACAATTCATAAAATAGTGATATGATGTTTCTGAACTAAATCCGCACATGTTACAACTTTTATCTTCCTTTAAAAAAAAAAAATAAAAAAATAAAAAAGATGAAGGATCCTTTTAATTAATCAGATTTATTGTAAATACTCTATATAAGCTAACTTTATGAATCGCACAGGTTTAATTAATATATAGGTTTTTTTCCATATCTCGTCTTCACGTACTTCGAATTCTAAGGGATATGATCAGATCTCTGTGGCATATAGGCAGCATAAATTAAGGAATCCCTGTCTAGTTAGTATAGTATACCAGGGCATTAACAATAGTGGGGAACATGGGATAATTTTCATAACGGGCGAATCCCAATATGCATAAATTAAGCCTCCTTAGCTCCTGACCTATTGACCTGCCTAACTTACATTCCGGTATAATTACCAAGGAATTTACTCAAAGAGTTATCACAGAGAGAAAAATTAGAAATGGAAATATTACAGCATAACCCCCCCCCCTTCCTTTTCTTCAACACCACATTAAACATTTCGTTCATTTCATTTATTGATATTTTTAGATTCCTTCCAGTATCTCTCCCCTTCAGAAATCTCAGACTGTCGAAGCTTAATTTTTATTAAATTTTATTGTTGTTAATAGCCCTCCTGTGATCATAAAAAATTTCAACTATTTATACTTTCAATTTGGTTCGCAAGATACTGTGAAATCACTAATTTTCGGGGGGGTTAAATTTTCGTTGTTTTCGTGGTATGAAGAGACCCACGAATTCATGACCACCACGAAATGTAAATTTTCTTATGCACAACTACTAAAAAGGTCTTCACCAACGAAATCAAATCCCCACGAACCAGCATTTTTTCCTTCAACAACGAAAATTGGACCCCACGAAAATATGTGATTTTACAGTAATGTGGTCCAACACACTTTTTGCAGATGTCACCTTCATTTGTCCGAGAGTTTTTAAAGACATATCTTTTTTTGCAGTTGAGGTAAAAAGAATTGTAAGAAAAAATTCAGAACTAAGCACTGCATTTTGTCCAGGCAATAAATATACTGTTTTCACAATGGATGGGACTGTAGCTCTCCAGTCTGTCAAAATATTTTTTAGAGAACTACCCTTCTGTAGTTAGCATTTGCCACACTACTAGTACATTGTAGGAATCTCATGCATGTATAGGATATATATTCCATCCTTAGCTATGCAAATAAAAGCTTAGAAATAAAATGGTAAAGACGTCGCGCACAGAATTGGGGCCGATTTCTTAACGTCAAATATCCATTTCTGACGTTATTGCATACGTTGTTTCAGCGTAAAAACGTCAAAAATGTACGGCGTAACAAATTAGACTAGACATCCAATATATGCTCTTGTTTTCTTATAAATATCTAATTCTTTAGTGTTTCTTAAAATACAAAATTGTATTTATCTGCACTTTGTAAAAAAAAGATTTTATCTGTAAATACGTTTTCCATTAAATAGAAACTACGGCTCAAATTTATGATATACGTCCCGTTAAATACATCATACGTATATTTGTGTCGTAGTAACAAAACAGACTAGACATCTACATTGCTCTGTTAAACTCTCCAGTTAGGTACTAATAATTTTTTAAAGAAACATTTGACTACTTTTTGATTTGCACATTTCATTAGTCACTTTAGTTTTACGAAAAGAAAATGTTATATAGTAAGAAATCTTAACCGAACATTCCAACTTTTCTTGTTATTCGTCAAGATTACGGCATATTATGATATTACAAAATGCTTCCAATTTTCGAACAGTCGGTATCGGTCAGTATACTGGAGATTTATTACCGAATTTTGTTTGACATCACCACAAGACATTATAGAAAATTGGTATAAACTGTCAGAAAAATCCATGTATCCAAAATGATAAAATGACCAAAAATTCTAACGCCGGTCGTTTACAGTGTTTCAAGTTATGCAATTTAAGATCCCAATTCTATGCGCGAAATCATAACACTGTAAGCTTTAACTTTCCAACCCCAACCCCGCTCTTATCCCCCCTCCCCCACAAAAAAATGCATGACAACTTTCAATTCTGGTGAAATCTATATTTACAGGAAATTCTTTTAATAACTATGCGAATTATACTTAAGCATATTTATCTAAATGAGTATTATTTGTCACTAAATCAAGAATTATTTTAAAGCTCAAGAAAATCAACCCTACTGCAAAATTCAAACATAATATAAACAATATCTTTTCAAATTATTGGCTTCAGTCCTCCACTTTTTTGCAAAGATATACATTATGTGGGCATTGAAAATAGGGTTTACGGTTTTATTGGGGATTAGCCTCATTTCAATATTATGTTTAAATTGCTTTTGACGCCTATGAATTTTGCTGAATGTATCGCGACTGCTTATCATCAAATTGCAATACTGCGTGGTTTATAACGTGCAAACTGTCCCAAGTTATGTTAGAATGATCGAATTATTCGAATAACATAAGTTTAAATAACCTTCATTCCTTAAAAAATTATAGGCTCGATTAAGAAACTTAATTTAAGTCCATCGTACATCTATAATCCTGATGTTCCATAGACACGAATGTTAGTCAGACTGGCTGAAGATCATAACCTAGTAACGTAACATAATAAATGTAACTCTAACATTTAAAAAAAATACGGACTTAATAATAAGAAAGGGAATATCTAAAGGTAATGTTTGTTTCAGAAAAGGTCACGTGACATGTTTTTCACTATACTACCGGGGACACGTGTGTAACCCCCAATTACGAACCTTCGCTCATTATGAAAAGTTCACACTAACACACATCTTTTAATCCTAACTAACCGGGGACATTTTTTCAACATGTTAAAAAATGGATTTTTTCGGCTTTTTGGGGGTAATTAGACATCCCTGATTTCGAATTTGGCGCTATGTTAAATAGGAGACAACCGGGGACGTCCCCGGTTGGAAGGTCGTCCCCGGTTGGAAGGTGTGTAAACAAACAAATGTCCCCGTTTGATACCCTTCACGCACGCACACACACACACACACACACACACACATATATATATATATATATATATATATATATATATATATATATATATATATTTTTAACTCCGGGACTTAATGTTGGACTTTTTTTCAAGAATTATATTTATTACACATATTCATCACGAGTACAATAAGAAAAAATCGTATAACCTCCAAAATAATTGCTCCACAAAAAAATTACCGCACTATACATTATATTAGAGAAATGTATGCCATTCCGGTTTGTTTATGTTGTACACCGAATGGACTTTGAGATTGAATGCTGTTCGTTATCTCCATATCCTTCTTGATTTAAAAACATGTATTTATTTCATTTCACGTGAAATATTGGTCTCCTTTGTCTCTACATTAATTTCTGTCTCAGTCCATGCTATAGGATTGAATCTGCATCTCGTAAGAATCCCATATTTTCTCCTTAATCAGCATTCCGGTCAGAAACTTAAAATCTATATGGTCGATACAAGGACCTTGTAAGCAAATACAATTTATCGTTGGCATTTTTCATAATAATTGCTAGGCCATAATTTATTCGCGGATTTTTTCGTTTCCCGATAATGACAAGGAGCAAACGGCGGATGTATTGGTTCAGCAGGGGATGCTCACTCATCCATGGCACCAGATCCCACCTCTGATGTTTCGGAGGTCCGTGTTTGCTCTGCTCCCATTTTGTATTGTGTTATGGAGATTGAAATTAAATACTGTTCGGTATCTTCATATCATCCCTTAGGTTAAAACAACGGATGTGCACAGATAATGTACTGCATATTATGATAACACCCGAGAGAGTTCCAATGTTTCCAAATAAATAAGTCTTTAATTATATTTTCCTGTAAAATGCTAGTGCAATTAATAAGTGGTGATATTAATATCAATACAAAATGGGAGCAGAGCAAACATGCATACACCCCTTAAATGTAAACTGTTTTGTAAACAGGACACAGGCTTTGTTATTGTTAATGTTTACGATTCACCGCACGTATTCAGTTACATGTTCAATTATATTGTACAAAAAATTTGGGAAAATGTGAAGATCAAAATGTGTCTAAGCATTTTTAAACTAAATACATTTGTACGTAAATCAACAATCTATAACCTTGGATATCCCATCATGGCACAAATGACTCCGGCTTCTGTTCTTCCCCAGTTATCACCACGCACTGTACCCCAAACAAAGGCATAGTAGATCTCAAGTCGGCCATTGGACGGAGAGGACCCATTAACAAGTCTAACCAAACCATTTAGGGAACTGATATCTATGTCAAATCATAGAAAAGTCAAGCCTCATTAAAATTGTTAACTAAATATTGACACATTATAAAAAGTACTCCAAAAGCAAAACAAGTGGCGGATGTCAAAACAACACACAAAACCAAATCAAATTGGTTGAAATCATGACCTCCAAGAGTACGGTTGGTCCACAATGTGAGATCAAAGTTTTACATTTCCAGTTTTACAAATAATTACATGAAGTCTTTAAAAATCTTCTCAAGAAGAGACAGATGATTCCCCCCTCACCCCCTTTTTATGCTCTTGGATCGAAAGATCTCAGTGGTACACTGTATATTGTTTTGTCCTGTCTGTCTCTCTATTTGTCTGTTGTCAACTTTAACGTAGTCCATAACTATTCAGTGGGTGGGGCTATGGCTTTCTTATTTCACGAGTGTTTTGTGACAAGATCTTTCTTTGGGTATTACCAAATGTGACCTCTTAACTTTGACGTTTTTTGCCTACTTTTTAAAAACAAATACCACCAAATTTAACATTGGCCATAACTTTTTACATTTGGAGGTAGGGTTTTCATACTTCACATGTGTTTTTATTTTGACAAGACCTTTCAGCAGGTATGAAAATGGTTGACCTTGTGACCTTGACCTAAGAGTTTGACCCACATTTTTTAAAATTCAACCTTTGTCATAACTTGGTCATACCTAGGTCTAACATAACAGTTAGAACTAGGGCTTTCATATTTCAAGAGTGTATTCCTTGAAACAAGACCTTCCTTTGGGTACCAACACTTTTGAACTTTTGATTTTGACCCTGTAACTTTCACCATAAGCTGCCATACGGGGGAATCAGTGTTTCACAAACACATCTTATTCTTTCTGGTTTTTGATTTTTTTTTTTTTTTACATATTCTAAATTCAGTACACTGGTAAAGAACCTGGTTCACTTGTCGCAAAATTCGGCCCCGTGTCAAAATTGATAATATTCCTCTAAGTTCTTCTAAAGAGTGTATATTTTTATGAAATTATCAATATATATACCTGTACAGAGCTTTATCTATGTTTTATATAGCTGTAAAGGTAGCATTGTTTACGTTAACGTTGCGATATTTTGACGTTGATTTATGCGACGTCATGAACAAGAATGGTATATAATATTTCAAAATATATCCAGCTAACATGCATTTTTCATTATGTAGGTTCATTAAATTTCTCTCACAAACGCAAAATGCAATTTATTGATCTACATGTGATAGTATACCATACTTACTAATTTATTTTTCATTATTAATGGCAAATATTTGAATCAATTCGAATGTTTTAAATCTTTTTTAAGACAAATTATTTTATTAACATATCAAATAATCTCATTTAATTGACGAAAAGTCTATTGTGGTTTAATTGTATGCTTATACAAAGTACAAGTTAATTTGGTTGCAACATTCCTTGGTACGACCTATCTAATATCAAACAACTTCCGTTTCTGTTGTCTGGAAAAATCTCGGTAACCTGCACAACAAAAATGAGAAGTATCGGCTGCCATCCGAGGTACAACGGAGAATATGCCACCAGTACGAACCCGTACAGCGACGAGAGGGAGAAAAGAGTATACCAGGAGCTTCATAACGCCGTGCAGGGCAGGGGAAGGAAACGGAGGGGAGAGGGCAATAGGACAGGACCACATGGCGATGACACGCAACTGGGCGTCGACCAAAGTAACACACCAACGGGGGCCATCATTAATGTGGCCAGTCAAAGTCAGCCTCAGGGAGACGAATCTACAAATCAGGAAATTGGTGAGTCTGATATTCTAATTCCACCCACGGAAAATTTTAATGGACCAAACTTTAGCATTGAAGAATATCAACCAATTTTGAACACTTGTGCCTTTGACCCGACCAATGCACATGTCCCTCTAAAGCTCAAAACAAAAATTTGGGAGGGATAATTCATAGATTTGTCCCTTCTTTTAAAATCCGCTAGGGAACTGGTCGACCACGAAAATACCTAAGGTCATATTCAAATACGCAACGGCACTATATGCCTTGTCAAGCAAAAATTAAACACTTTTCTATCTATTGAAAAATGGACTTCTGCATTTATTATATTTATAAGTATTATGCTGGAAAAGTATAGAACAAGGTCTCAGGAACTAATAAAATACATGCGTGATGTAAGAATTGCAGCATCCCGATCTACAGGCTGGTTCAAATATGATGAGCACATTCGCCTACTCAAAGTGTCTAACTCCCAGTCTTCCTGGGGGCAAATAAACAGCGAATTGTGGCTATTATACATCACGAACAACAGTCTAACTCATGCTCCAGATAGGGTTAACCCTCAAGGCAAAGTCAATCATACAAATAACATAACCTCAGCCCAACAAAACTATCATCTAGTGCTAATGCTACTCAATACTGTCATAATTATAATGCTGGCAGATCATGCAGGTTTTACCCAAATTGTAGGTTCAGCCATGCATGCAACGTGTGTGACGGGAGACATGCAGCATCCGGGTGCAAGAGCACTAAACAATTCTAGCCTTGTATCATCAACTTGTACACTGGGAAAAACTCCTATTAATGTCAACATATTGTCTGACTACCTACATAATTATAAAGAAAAAACAGTTATTTTAAACGGTTTCAATCAGGGTTTCAAATTACAGTACCAGGGCTCCAAGGATTATAGGGAGGCAAACAATCTAAAAAGTATTTACCAACACACAAATATTGCACAAGAAAAGATAAACAAAGAAGTTTCCCTACAACGGGTGGGGGGTCCGTTTCATTATCCACCATTCTCCTCCTTACAGATTTCACCTTTTGGGTCTTGTCCCTAAAAAAGATGGAGATTTCCGTCTCATCCATCACTTATCATAACCAGAATTTAACTCAATAAATCACTTTATCGATCCCACAGCTTGTTCATTATATTATGCTTCAGTTGACGATGCAGCAGCCATAGTGGCCACCTTGGGACCTGGAACATTGCTAGCCAAATCCGATGTTAAATCTGCCTTCCGTCTTCTCCCAGTGGCATGCTCAGATTTCGAGTTACTGGGTTTTGAATTTAACGACAAATATTATTTTGACAAAATGATGCCATTTGGCGCATCTATAAGTTGTGCAACATTGGAAAAGTTTGCAACAGCCCTGCATTGGATTATCCAAAATAAGTCTCGTAACACCCATATTCTACATTACCTTGATGATTTTTTTTTTTTGCTGGTAAGAACAACTCAGAGCAATGCAAATCTACACTAACTCAGTTTAAGCAAATTTGTCAAGATATTGGGGTACCCCTAGCTCTGGAAAAAACCACTGAATCCAACACAATCATAACATTTTTGGGCATTGAATTTGATACAATTAATATGGTCCTGCGTCTCCCCCAAGACAAACTTGACAATCTCAAACAAACTATTGATCTGTTTCTCCAGAAGAAAAAAGTCCCCCTAAAATCGGTGCAGTCACTAATAGGCTTGCTTAACTTTGCATGCAAAACAGTTGCTCCAGGCCGAGCCTTTTGTAGACGACTGATTGATGCCACAGTGGGCATTAAAAAACAGCATCATAAGGTCAGAGTAACTCAAGACATAAAATCTGATCTCAGAGTATGACAACAGTTCTTGCAAAATTTTAATGGGATTACCCTCATAACTTCTGGCAGTTGGACATCAGACACATCTCTGCAATTTTTTACTGACAGTGCGGGGGACCAAATGGGGGATTTGGGATATATTTTGCATGTAGCTGGGCACATTCAAAATGGCCAGGGGACTGGGCTGAATCAGGGATAGTAAGGGACATGACCTTCCTAGAATTTTTCCCAGTGTACGTTTCACTATCATTATGGTGCGATAGACTCTCTAACAAAAGGATTCTGTTTCATATTGATAACATGGCAGTGGTACAAATACTCAACACATCAACATCAAAATCACCAAGAGTCATGAATATTGTTAGAAAGCTAGAGCTTGTCACCCTACAGTATAACATCACAATTAAAGCTAAATATATACCCTCTAAACACAATTCAGTTGCTAATAGTATTTCTCGTTCGCAGTGGGGTAGATTCAGGGATCTGGTGCCGGACGCAGACGCTTGATCAACTCCAACTCCCAACCAGATTTGGCAGATCTAATGACAGAATCCAGAAAGTTAATCTACAATTCCCTAGCTCCCAGCACACACAAGACTTACCAAACTGCCCTTGAGAAATTCCAAAATTTTGTCAAAAATCATTATAATCACTTAGTGGTAACTTGGCCTATAACAACACCTGTATTACTAAATTTTATAGCTTATTTGTCAATTCATGATCATGCCGCTAGCACTGTGCAATCATACGCAAGTGCAGGTGCCTTTTTTTATAAATTTCAAGGGCTTCAGGACCCATCAAACAATTTTCTCGTCAGGAAAGCATTACAAGGGCTAAAGCGCACTAGGGGTACAACACAGGACTTGCGTTGTTCTATTACTTTTTCGATCTTGCTCAAAATCGTATCTTCACTACCTACAATTTGTCAATCATATGAAGTTAAACTGTTCACATGTGCCTTTAGTTTGGCATATACCGCATTACTCAGAGTAGGGGAATGCACAGCCACAGGTTACAACACTAACTCGCATTTTATTCAGTTTCAAGGAATCGAAATTAGGCCTCACACCAATGAAGTTAGAATAACAATCCCACATTCAAAATCTCAACAAACAGTTGGACAAACGCTCATTATTCAGGGTCAATCACATTCTCCGCTATGTCCTGTTAGATGCATTAGTGAATTTTTAAAAGTCAGACCTACCAAACTTGCATCTCATATTTTCTTAGTTCACAGTGACACGGCACCTCTCACTAGGTTTCAGTTCAATGCAGTATTACAACAAGCTTTCAAAATTTCTGGAACACAAGGATACTTTGGCACTCATAGTTTCAGAATTGGTCGGGCTACCGATATAGCACTACAGGGGGTTTCTTAAGATGCCATTCAGAAAGAAGGCAGGTTGAGATCACCTGTTTTTCTAAAG